TATCTTATCCTTTCCCATTTCTGCCATACAAATATTCACCGTTTCTTTAAATCACATTTAATTAAGGGGTTTCATTTTTTTCTTGCCTTTTCCCCCTGTTGTCTCATGTCAGTAGCAGGTTAATCCTGAATTACCAATAAATGCAAATGGAGTAAAGAAAATCATGAGATCAAGATTATTTTTAACTTCACCAGCATAATTGTTAATATCTCCATTGTCCTCTGGGATGTGTAGAATTATATCAATTAAATTGGTCTCTGTAACTGAACACATTAACCATAAATGTGACTATTGTGTCTTCACCAGCACCCTTTAGGTATTTAATTTACTTGCCTGTAATAGATCGTCAGAGCTGTAAACGTGAGACAAGCAATGTAAATGGTGTAAGGATGGTAATTATTCGAATGGATCGATGGTAGTATGATTGCAATGTGATATTGTGGGTAGGAGCGAGATACAGATATCCCATATAAATTCCCATTTTCAGCTTTATTTCCTTACCCATTTTTTTCTAAGACATTTAAAGTGAAAATAACGCAATCTGACATTGCCATTCTCTTTTTTATCTCTTCCCGTTATCCTTTGTGCCATTGCCTTACTAAAACCAGCGTACTTCACAACAGCTAAATTTCCCCAAAGAAAGCAGTGAGTTTATAGAATCAGAATTCCAGCAGTTTCCCCATTTGTCATTATATCCAAATATCTGAACTGGAAGTCACTTTATAGATTAGCTCGTTTGTTTCCTTCGTATTTTAGCTAAAGAACTGTTAGCCCGGTAGGGTAGAAGGTTATACAACCTGGTATTGCCAGGTAAACAAACTGCAATGGGATGGAACTATAACCTGGTACCAGCCCTCCCACCTGGGCTGAGTGAGGAAATGAGAAGTTATACCAGCTGCAAGTGCAGAGGAGGTTCAGTGTGACAGGCCAGAGCAATCCCTGAGGGAAACAGCAACAAGTCAGAAAAAGCTTTCAGTCTAGTTTGGGTGGGGAATAAATTGGAGAAGCAGTCTATGCATATACAACCAATACTTTAAAAGTTCAGGTAGGTGATCAGTGTGAAGGTAGAAGGATTGGGCTGTGTGGCAGGTGTCTATCCATGAGGAGAATGAAAAGAACATCTTGCCTGAGGGACAGGAATGTTGGGGGTGTTGCTAAAACAGCTATCTGAGCCCAGAGGAATGAGATCAAAGCCAAGTATTAGAATTGAAACCTGAAGAAGAAGCCGGAATTTGAACCCTGAGACCCAAGCTATGACTCGGTCGAGATGATCTGACAGTGGCAAGAGCATCTCCAAACAGATTTTACCTCAACACTTTTCCTCAACTTTTGTGCCCCATCCCAGTTCAGTCACTGCACCCGAGTTTCATTGCTAAGTAACAGACTGGCCTAAATCTGAAACTTTCGATACATCTGCCAAAAACCAAAAAACAAACAAACAAAAAACCATTCAAATCATCACAAGCACAAATAAAATCACACATAGCCCATGCCTTCTGAATTACCAGAAAACAGAACACTAGAACTTCATATTCTTCTAAATAGAAAAATAAACACCAAATACCCACAGAACTATGGCTGTAAGACTGTGTGTTCCAGGGGAGGTGGGTGGCAGAGAGTGTAAAGAAAGCTCTGCCAGGATGAGGAGGTTGGACAGCACGTGCTCCATATTGACCACAGGGGGAGACTGGTGGTTCCCAGTGCTGGCTGCAGGGCAGGGCTTGAAAGTGTGCGGGGCCTGATGCGGCTGTCTCAGAGAGGCGGTGTTTCCTGGGGAGAAGGAATCAAAAGGGGAGATGCCATTTGGAGATGTGGTTGTGAAGATAAAAAGGAACAGGGAAAACTTTAAGATGCTATAGCAATAAAAGAGAAGTATAACACCTACATCCTCAGTCATCATTCATTAAAGAGGCTAAAACAAGGATAAGGGCAGGGGTGAAAGAAGATACTTGAACATGATATGCTTTGATAAAGTAGAAAGAATGCGTCTAGAGAATTGGTAGGAAAATGGAGTGAAAGGGAAAGTTGGTTGTTATGTATGCAACAGGAGGGAGTCAAGGGACATAATTTTAACTAGATAGTAACAAATAAAGGAAGACAAAAGGGTCATGAACACTGTTAAAGAACCTGCAAGGGTAGATGTGAATGAGGCAGAGGGTTAGGAGCGGGGTGACACCTTGCTGACTATACCTTTCAATATGATTTTGATTTGTGGAATCATGTTAATGTTTCCCATATTCAAAAACTAAATAAAATGAAACTAACAAAAAGAGGAGAAATTAGATTTGAATACTATCAGAAACAAATGAACTGCACTGAATTTCAAATGAATAGCAAAATCACATTAAAGTTAGTTGGGGTGGGGAAACCAATCTTGTAACTTTTGAACACAGTATTTTTACTCTATACTTGCATTCTAAAAAAAAAAAAAAGTTGTGAATTCTTCTTAGTATTGTTTTTTGTAGTGTTAACAGATTTGTATGCACTGTGGGAATGAAAAAAAGTTGAGTAAATGTAATGATGTCGGCAGCCTACGTATGTATGCTCTAGCAAAAAGGAAAAGGAAGAATTCTGTGGAGGTTGAGGTCGTGTGTGCGTGTGTGTATGTGTGTGTGTGTGCGTGTGTGTGTGTGTGTGAAGGAAGGAAGAAAGGTGGGGGTGAGAGAGAGAGAGAGAGAGAAAGAGAGAGAGAGAGAGAGAGAGAGAGATCCTCCCACTGAAAAGGGACTGGAAGCCATGACTTCTCAGTAGCAATTGGCACACATTAACACCCATATCTTAGTTTCCAAATACCATTCTCCAACTACAGGAAAGTTGGATTCCTGAAAGAAATGGCCAGTTTCAGGGATGGGGCAAGGAAAAAGCAAAATGAACCTGGAACATTTCCATGTGACAAAAAAGGAAGAAAGTCTTCTTAAAATGACGGAAACGTTATCAAAAGGACACAGCTTAAAGAGGTTTATCTTCCCAAAGTTGGAACGATTTGAGCATCAAAATAAATACCAACAGCAATAACTTATAATGCTTTTAATGTTATAAGTTATTGATAAATAAATAGGAAAAGTACATATTGATAAATAAATAGGAAAAGTTCTTCCTTATGATAGAATGAAAAGTCATAAATTTTGGTAGAGAAATGGTAGAAATCATCATTCGCAACCGGAGTAACTAGTGATTCAGTGAAGACTCATCAATGGTTGCCAAAATAAATAGATGAAAATTTGATTACTTATTAATTGTGAAAGGAAAGAGAGCAACTTTATAATAGAGACATTGGCAGGCCCCACGTCCACCAAGTGATCAAAGTTGACATGTCCAGTAATGAGACACATGAACGTCATATGATTCTGATATGATGCACTGAGAAAGATCCAGCATCACTTCTGTGCTATTTCTGCCAGTGTGCATGAGAAAACTTAAAACAAATTCACATTAAGGAACATTTCAGAAAACGATTGGCCTCTACTTTTTGATAAAAAAGGAAGGGAAGAAGGAAGGGAGGGAGGTAAGGGGAAAGGCGGAAGGAAGGGAGGGAGGGGAAGAAAGAAAGGAAGGAAAGAAAAGGAAGGAAGGAAAAGAAAGGGTGAGTCAACAACGTGAAAGACAAGGAATTATTTCAGATTAAAGGATCCTGAATGAGTGACAAATAGATGCAATGCATGATCCTGGGTAGGATTCTGAACTGGAGGTAATTTGCTCTTTCACAATATTGGTACAATGGATGAAATTGAAATAAGGACTATAGATCAGATTGTGGTATTGTATTAATGTTATATTTCCTGAATTTGAAAACTAAACTGTGGTTGTTTATTTTACATCTACAGCACCTAGTATTTCTAGGTGGTCTCCCAGCCAAGTACTAACCAGGCCCGACCTTGCTTACCTTCCGAGATCAGATGAGATTGAGCACGTTCAGGGTGGCACGGCCATAAACCAAAGAATATTTTTAATTGATGGGAAGAAGGTATAAAGAAAAAACGTTGATCTATGTGTCATGTAAAAATGATGCCATATATTTGGGGGAAAAAAAACTGTTTCAGAGCACTATACACCCCTTCCAAATGTCAAAGAGGGTTGGAGTCAAGGGGTAGTTACAGCCAGATTTTCTTGGTGAATGGGGCAGGTGGTCACTGTCGCAACCATGGAAGGGTTAACACACAATTCTGGATTCAGGCTGGGGCCAACAGTGGATGAACTGGACCTAAATCGCCAGATGTGGAGGGCAGTTCTCATGCTACCATGTCATGTTCCTCTTAAAATGTAATATGCTTATAGTGATTACTTTTTTCCCCTTTATTATTCCACATAGTAACCTAGTAACCATATTTAACCTGCTATCTTATAGTACTCTTCTTAGCATTCAGATACCCACACGGCTCCGAGGGGCAAAAACAGCAGTAATTTTAAAACAAGAGAGAGAGGGAGAAAGACTCTTAAGTATAATTCAGTTCTTAAATTTATTATTTTCTTATGTTCAAAAGTCATTGATTAACAAGGAAAAAACCATATTTAGTTTGCATTTGGAGTTATGCTTTTGTGAATTTACCTGAGATCCTTTTCTATGGCCTAAACAAATATTGGATTGTAAAACTGTGACAGGTCTTAATGAAGTGGATTAAAACATTTCTTATATTTACATTTTAATAGAATGATGTAAAGATTGTAATCTTTTTATAGAATACTCTTACATCAGACCATGATTTGATTTTCTACCTGTTCAGAATATCAAGTTTTATATTTCTCTAAATGGTAATGTATTTTTGTGAAACAAGATAAGACAGAAGTCATCCCTGAGATATTTATAATAGTACTTTGAGCAAACTTGTCTAAGTCTGTTCTAAAAGGTTGTTTTGGATCCTGAGGAGATATATTTAGTAACTGTATTGAATAAGTTGTCACATAATACAATATTTTATTGATTTATTTATATTATTTTTATATCTTACTGCAGGCAGAGAACTCAGCACTGGCTTTGGAAAATGAAAATCAAAGGGAGCAGTATGAGCGATGTCTTGATGAGGTAAGTGGGGTGGACAGGTTCTTAATGAGAGGCCACACTGTCTAGGATTTCCTTAGTCAGATCTTAATATAGGTCTGTTCTAGCCTCAGCTGAACAGTAGCATTTTGTCCTGTAAAGAAAGGTTGTAAACACATGCACACTGAAAAGGAAGGTCAGTTGGTCTGTCCCCACTCCCCTTCCTCTCTCCTTCTCTCCCTATTTCACTATGCAGGCATCTATAAGTTCCTTTCAGTTATTGTTTCATGTTCTTGGGGCACAGTTAGGGGATGCTTCACTGTATGATAAATCCTTCTGTCCAGCAAGTATGATGCCAGCCCGTGAATGAGAAAAGCCATGTCAGGGCACGCCACATTTCCAACTGGATGCCGTTTCTGAAAAAGCAAATGCTTGATAGAGTGGGCGGGGATGATGTTCACAGCTGTCGGCCAGAAGGAAAAAATCAGTATATTGAGAAAAAGCCAAGAAGAGAAAAGGAAGTGAAGAAGAAAATTTGAGCAGAATGAAAGAAGACAGGGCCCATGCATGAGTAAACCTGAGAAATATTACTTGACGATAATGAAGAGATGAAGGCAAAGATGGTGGGCATTTCACAGTGCCTGAGAGGTGAGGGGAAAATTGAAGTGTGTGCAGCACCTTCATTCTCTCAGCCATTCCTCTCACACTCTGTCATGGATCATGCTATCAATACATACTGTGTCATCCAGTCAGGACTGCCCATTTGCCTCACTGACAAGCTTTCATCTGGGATTTTGTTGGTGATTGAAATTATTAATTTAATGGATTGACCTTTTTAGTAATTTGCCCAATACCATAAAACTTGCACATGTCATTCTAGTGAATTCAGTTTGAGAGTTGTTACAATATAGCGGACACAGATTTTAAGAAAATAAGAAAAACTACATTTAATCAGATTCTATTACCTTACCAGTGGAAACTAGTAATGTATCTTCAGTCTTTTTCTCTTCACTAACAATTGGGAAAACCTTTTCCAGCAAACTCCTCTTGATCTTTCTTACCCCTTCCTTCACCTTGATCCCCCTCTCCACTCTCCCATAATGTGACTGGTTATACTATAAAGAACACAGGCTCAGTCAAGTCCCAATTCTGACATCATCACCACCACCACCATATACCTCTCTCCTCCTCAGAGTGGAAGTGGCCTTTCTCCTCAGAGTCCCAGTTGTGCTTGGTGTTTTCCTACACCGGTGATTCTTGAAATGTGATCCCTGGACCAGCAGCATCAGCCTCACATGAGAACTTGTTAGAAATGCAAATTCTCAGGCCCAACCCCAGACCTACAGAATCAGAGACTCTGGGAGTAGGCCTGGTGATCTATGTCAGGAAGTTCTCAAGAAGTGCTGTCCTTGAAACACAGGCCACTTTGTCTTTGTTGTTTGTTTTTATTATTATTTTTTAAATTAAGTTTATTGGGATAACATTGGTTAATACAATTATATAATTTTTAGGTGTACATAATAATTTGACATCTATATATTCTATTGTGCGATTACCACCCAAAATCCAGTTTCCTTCAGCTACTATATATTTGATCCCCTTTACTCACTTCGCCCTTCCCCTCCCCCTCTACTTTTGACCCCCTTTACCCCGTCTACCTCTCCCCTCCTTCCCCACCCCTTACCCTCTGGTAACCACTAGTCCATTGTCCATGTCCATGTCTCTGTCTGAGTCTCTGTTTGTCCTGTTCATTTGTTACTTTTAGGTTTATACCACACATATAAGGGATATCATGTGATTTTCTACTTTCTCAGTCTGGCTTATTTCGCTTAGCATGATTATCTTGAGGTCTATCCATGTTGTCACAAATGGCAGTATTTCATCTCTTCTTATGGCTGAGTAATATTCCATTGTATACATGTACTACAGCTTCTTTAGCCAGTCATCTATCATAGGACATTTTGGTTGCTTCCATGTCCTGGCCAGCGTGAATAATGCTACTATGAACATTGGTGTGCAAATATCTTTTCAGATTTGAGTTTTCAAGTCTTTGGGGTAAATATCCAGTAGAGGGATTGCTGGATCATATGGTAGATGAATTCTTAGATGAGTTTTTTGAGGAAGCTCCATACTGTTATCCACAGTGGCTGTACCAATTTATAGTCCCACCAGCACTGTATGAGGGTTCCTTTCTGTCTACATCCTCTCCAACATTTGTTATTACTTGTCCTGTTGATTATAGCTATTCTAACAGGTGTGAGATGGCATCTCATTGTGGTTTTGATTTGCATTTCCCTAATAGCTGACGATGTTGAGCATCTTTTCATGTGTTTGTTAGCCTTTCTATATCTTCTTGGAAAAACTTTTAAATGTTATAAGCTTTTCTCAGAACAATACATGAAGTTATGCTAAACAAAATAAGTCAGACAGGAAAAGTTGAGAAACATTATTTCACTCATATGTGGAATATAAAACTGAAAGCAACAAATGAACAAGACAAACAAACAGAGACTCAAGGACATTGACAACAGTTTAGTGGTTACCAGAGGAAAGGGGAGGAAGGGAGGAGGTAGATAAAGGTAAAGGGGGACAAAAGTATGGTGACAGGAGATTTGACTTTGGGTGGTGAACATATATGACTTTTTTGAATTGTATACTTGAAACCTATGTAATTTTATTAACCAATGTCATCTCAATAAATTAATAAAATTAAAAAAATACATGAAGTTAAAGGGAAAATGGTGAAAATAGGTAATGACTATTTTGAGGAATTTAAATATTTTGGTATTGCAAAAACTGCCAGTTGTAGACAAATATATTGAAATTCCAATGCAGAATGTCACTAAAATAAGAAAACTAAAGCCAAAAACTGAAGTGAGAGAAATCCAGTAAATAAAGCAGTTAGATACAGGATCTTTGAAACAGAAAATTTTCTAATAGGATTATGAAAAGCTGTAATAAAAGCATTATCTCTCTTATGATATAAAAAGTTACACATTGCAAGAGCATTTCTTCCAAAAAAAGAAGCTCGTACAGTTCATCACCTGTAATCATTTCCCTCATTTCACTACAGTTCAGGCTCCAGAAACCTGAACTTACATTTTCCCTCTACTTTCATGA